GTTCGACGCATAAAGCTGTATTGATGATCGTTGTAGAACAATGTATAAATGTAATATTCGATACATAATATACATTAATCATTTTTTGATTATTAACTTGACGTTTTATGCTTTTTGCAATGTGATGTACTACAGAGTTTTAAGACATTTTACAATAATTAAATACATTTTTAATCGATTATTCGTTGACCAAAATAATAATATACGAAATGTTTACGGATCGAGGTCATAGCTTGTTAATTTCCCAAACATTGTAACGATACTTATCCTACAATTACACATATTATAGCTAACGACCAAAAAGAAGACAGAACAATAATAATAAAATATCCTAGAATATCTTATAAGCATGTAATCTTACACAAACAGATGAATTGCTTTGATTTAAAATATTGATAGTTATAACAATGTGTCCAGTGTACAAAAAATTATTAATTAATATTTCTGCTTTCTTTGAAATAAGAATTTTAATAATATAATTATTTCATTAGAATCTACCCTTTAGAGGTTAAAAATATATTCGATTTCCACATGATTAGTTAAAGAATATACTCGTAATAACTATATTATTATACTTTTGATCTATACTTACCATGTAATTTATGATGTTTCATATGTTGGGTCCAGAAAAAGTGTTTCTAATTTATCGGCTTATACAATTCGATTTTAGACCGTGTTCGTATTTCATATACAAAGGTTTCATTGTGAATGTATTTATTTTATTAAATCTACTACATTGAGTAAGTAAGTTGTAATCACTTCATAGCATTTATATTTTTGTAAGTTTAAATTTTGTAAAAATCGAGTGAAATTACCTTAACCCATACGTGTTTTTATTTTTCCATTTAGCCAACACATTTTTTAATCATCACTTGCTATAGCATAGATCCAAAAAAACCTTCATTTGATATATTTACACTGTTTATATAGCTATGTAGCTATGGTGAATGATGAATTTTTTTATCAATATTCAGTGGAGTATACAAATACAACATTTAAGACTTCGAGCTTGGTTTTTGTTGTTTTATGGTATTTAATTTTTTTATTTATTTATTATTATCATTATAAATATTTAATTATTTAGCTTGATAGACATTTATCCTAATTTTGTGTAAACTGTTCATTGCTTTGGAAATGTAAAATATTATAAGCATAAATTAGATTCAGTAAATTTGAATATTTGATCCAGCCATGGAAATGAGAATAAAAACTAAAACTATCAAAAAATTAGTATAAACACCGATCTAACAAATATGAAACGATCTAAAAATTATTATCAATACAAAATTTGTTATTTTATGATGAACATTTATAGTTATTATTTAAAAATTATTTTGTGACAAACATAGGAAAACTAAGCAAACATTTATTCTTAAAAACGAAGTAAACATCTTACTAAATGATGTGTACAGTGTACATACGCGTAAATAAATTAGAAAACCAAATATAAAGGTCTTAAAATGTCTGTAATATGCGTTATTCATGTCAATTACAGCTCAGCTCCAAAATAATAATTTATTTCGTCGGTCAAAAATAAATACAATTTTTGTTCCCAATTTTAGTATTTTCCTGAATTTTATACTTAAACACTTTTTTATAATTGTAATTATTACACGTTCTTACATGGATTTATATATTTTTAATTATAGTTTCCCGACAGAATGAAAACAGGACATTGATAGTACATGAATTGATATACATTGATGGTACTATAAAAAAAAAAAACTTTGGGCTTTTCCTGGTAGTTCCTAACGAGTCACAACGCTTACTCAGTAACGTAAGTACAACGTTCTAAGTCACAGCGAAAAAACTCAAAAAATATCTTCTATTCCAATAATGTTTTTTATCATTATTATGACAAATACCTTATACTTTTAACATGCAATCATAACACTCGTAAAAATGAAATTTATTTATCATTTATTATATTTAAATACTTAATGACAATCGTAAAAGAAAAACTGTGTAATGTGGGTTTGCAATCGATGTGCTCGATGTAAAACTGACATTAAAAACAAGTTTGTTATTTGAAAAAAAAAAAAAACTGGTTTTACGAACATAATGTTTTAGTTTTTTAAACCGCAATTTCTTTTCGTCGAGAGAAAAATAAATACATATTTTGAAAACCACGAATGCCTGGAATACCTAATATGTATTAAACGTTGCTCCTAAAATGGAATTTCGACTTGAAATGTCATGCACGGGATCCAGGTGCGTTCCGTACGGTTGAACGATGAGGGTACCTCCCGCAGTTTTTGTGCGTATAAACCGTACGCAGGTGATATACTCGTAGGAAGTTCCATGGCCCATTGAAAAATGTCCCCGTCCGATTTCTTGTATAATTAGCGGAATAGTAATAAATATACCGTGTGTACGCGTGTAAAACTATCATGGATGTGCGCGCGTAGGAAAAACAAGTTTGAGTGGTGCGCGCGCACTGCAGATTTCCGGTGGAGTTGAGAACAATCGCGTGAGGAAAAAGCGTTTCGGTTGGAATTGATTTTTTTCCCCTCCGACGACGGTAAAACTCACCCCTATACAATAATATAAATAATACGAAATAACGTACAAAATATACACATCGTCGGCGACTCGGAGAGGGTTCGAAAAAAAAAGTTTAATTTAAATTTTTTTTGTTTTTCTGTTTAAAACCGTTCCACAGTGTACGGCGATAAAAACCACGTGCGTGTCGGACTAGTGTTTTGTAACGACACGAAACAATGTCGTCGCACTCTTCTCGCGTCCCCTAAGGAACAACAATAGTCGTTGCCGGTTTTCCGCGATAACTATTATTGTGTGTATCACGATCGCGACTGCAAAACAATCGTTGTTCGGACGGGCGCAAGCCCTCCCACCCCTCCAAAGCACGTATCACTTTTAAACGTAGATTTTTGTACGCGTATTTCTCGGATTTGACTGCCCCTGACGCTGAAATATTCCGCGATTTTCGTGAAACTAACCGTGCGCGGAGAGCACAGCTGGACGACAACCGTTTGAGTGGGTAGCGAATACGTTACAATTGCGTAACATTGTACCACGCAAAGAGTGAAGAAAAATCAATAATTTAAATTAATTTTTAAACGCGCGCACACACAAAGGCATCAGAGAAACTATGACGGAAAAAGTGTACAGCATTTCGCGAATTGACAATGTATACGATGTACAGCCAACGGAACGATAGATCCCGCTTGCCACCTATCCCGTTAAAGCCACGTCATATCGGTAACATTGAACGAATGTCTTCCACTGGAGTATATAAAAATAAAATCATTGTTTTACATCAGTGTTGGCGAATTACAATTCCACGTGGTAGATCAAATTTTAACCCCCCTCCCCATCCGGGTAGTGCGTTTCAATTGTTTTAGACAATGTTTAAACTCGATACGAAACCTCTTAAATCGAATACATTTTTACCTTTACGCCACATGTGGTGTCCCCACATAAAAATAGCCCGCAAAAATCTGAAATACGTGTTCGGCTACACGCGCGAGGTGGTTTAAAAATCGTGAACCAAATTTGGAGGCACCATTACAAAAGAGATTCACCGCTCCTGCATCGGTTATTTCAATTTATTCCGAGAACGAGAAGAGGAGATGATGAGCTATCCCGATTGTTCGTTTGTATCGGTTCCGGGGGAGTATCCTGCATATCCGGATTTAGGCAATATAGGCACGTGTCTACAGCGACACACGCAAAATGACATTTTTGGAAACGATAGCGTTGGGTGCTCATAGTATTTAAACGCAACGCTCCAAAAGAGGATGTTGATTTAATTTTTTTTTTATTTGATGTACAAAGAAGCTAATGGCAATTTTTGTGAAGTTTTTCTTTATTAAATAAAATGATAAGCCCATCGAGGAAGAAAGATTATTTAATATTAAAGTGATATACACAAAAACGAGTTTTGGACAAAAATGTATTAACTATCTGGGTCCTGTTTAACTCTATGCCAATGGATGCGAAAAGAAATGTTTTTATTAATAATGTTAACATCAAGAAATAATGTATAAATTATTTTGTATTCAGTGAAACAAGTCAGTGTTTATGATTTCGGTATTACCAAGTCTAAAGCAAGAACAATTTATACATTCTTTTCGTTGTGACACCGCCACAAGCTTACAGCTTAAACGTGTAGGTAAATTTTAATGTTCACTTTAACACTTTGTTTAGTATTGTGTTAGTTAAATAATAAAAAAAATCGTTTCGCGCATTTTTCGTCCGTGGACAAGAGCAATCGGTGCAGTCGTAACGTACGAACTGAAGCAGTACGGTGGGAAACGTGCGGAACAATACGAAAATCAAACGTAAACGAAGCCTTTGCGGTCGAACGGTATTTGACGACGGCGCGCGGCCGGAAACCGCGTCGGCCACACGGCGCGCGGCCACGGTGTCGGGGCGACGACGGTGATGATGATGATGATGATGTGCAGCGCACCCGCGTGCACGTCGCCGCGGCCGCTGGCGGCCTTGCCCTAGGCCAAAAAATCTATAGTTATCCCGGCACACAACCGGAGGACGGCGAGAGCCGCGGCCGCTTGAGAGCGCTAGCGGTGCGCGGCCCCGGTCCACGGTCGGGCGGCGACGACGACGGCGGCGGCGGCGGCGGCGGGCGGCGGCGTGTGATCGACGGCGGCGGCGGCGGCGGCGGCATTTTTAGCATCCAGCGGCTCTAGAAACCGCACGGCCGTCGCCGCGTCACCTGCGCCGTCAAACGTAGTCGCGACACGTTTCCGTATCGTCACCGTTCACCGCCAGTGGTACGGGGCCGCCGCGGGCACACGTTCATCATCCCGTGCGCGCGCACCACGCACCATCACGTACACGCGTCACCGGCGGACACACACGACACGTGTGCCGGCACCGGTTTCGTCCGTCATTCGCTCGTCATCCCGTGAAGCCGACCCCCGGAGGACGACGGCACACCACGCCGAACCACCCGTGAGTACACCATACACATACGGCCCACGTGCACGTACACCGCGCGAACGGTTTGCGCGCCACCGGAAGGGTCCCGCCGCGCTCAACCGGTTCGATCGTTCGACCCCTTCGGCCGACCAGTGTTCACGACCGGACCTGGTTACCGTTACCCCGGTGGTGCGGATGTCGCGAGATGCGCACCCGCGCGAAAACCGATGTCCCCGACGACCTCTCGTGCCGCGTACGAGCTCCTGGTGAACCGGTTGCGCTCCAACAGGTTGCGGCCCCCCACCGCGTCGTTTCGAACACGATACGCGCACAGGAACAGTAGGAAAATCGTTGAAATTACTTCGTCGTGCGGTGGTTCGACGGTCGGATCCGAACGAAATACGTGATCGTAGTGAACTCCAGCGGTTACCACGATCGTCGTCATTGGTAATCAACACCGTTTTTTACTGGTAAACGCACATCTGATCGTCAGCAACAATAACTATCCTAGGCGTTCACGTTTTTTCATTATTTCATTTACGAAACGTCTCCGATTGAACGGTTTAATATCTCGCTATGTTCACGAACCCGATAAATTCCGGATTAATCCAATTATTTGATTCCGTTACTATTATTAAACTGTTTACAATGGGTACGAAATCCATTTTTTTTCCCCGTGCAATTAAACACATTTTAAGTTAAGCTTTATTATAATATATTATAATGATTTATATACCATACGTGTACGTGTTTCTATCTCTTACTGCCCATAAATCAAAACCATTGGAAATTATCAACCAAACGCGTAACATCAAATTGTACTCTCTCTGCGTAGTCCATGTACACGTGCAGTAAGCGTATCGTACCTACAATTAGGTTGGAATATTTATCGGAAATTTATCATATTTTACGCTCGGTCCGAACACGCTGCCGTGTCATTACACCGAACGACGCGTTACCACTTTGGTTCACGCATTACGTTGTAGTGTTGAACGTATTTTACCGACGTAACCTAACCGACGTTTTCAATGTTCTTGGTTTCCTGACACTGACGTTTATCGTTTCGTTTCATTGTTTTTTCGGCCGATTTTGTCCCTCAACATTTCTTCCACTCGTCGCGGATCAGTGCGGCGTAGGAACAACTAGTTAGCGCCCCAGGAAAACTTAGAAAAAAGCGCTTTTTAACCAATTAAAATTCGACGATATGGTATTTTTTTTAACCTTTTATTTTACTATATTTTTTTATAAGTATACAATTTGTATTAATAATTTATTACAACGGAAAATTTTCGATTTGATCGTAGGATAAAAATACGACTTTTGCACAATTTTGCGTCCCTTTGCAATTCGCGCCCCTGGCGTAAGCACGGTTCGCCATACCGTTGCTACGCCACTGTTGCGGATCATCATGTCCTTTAAATATTTACCTCGATCAACAAAATCTCGCAACGCTCAATAAATCGCGGTCGCCGTTCATCCGATGACAGTATGGCATGCGATCCGTTTAAGTTTTCGTCGTCCGTCACGTTTTCACACCGAACCACGTTCGGTTGTACTTACACAACGATCGGTCGAGACGACGGGAAACAAGTGTGTTCGAATGTCGTACTTGTCAATACCGTACTATTCGTTCCGCGTACCCGTCGAAATGCGTTGCAATCAATCGTTCGACTGCCACAAACGACCGCCGAGTTTCATCCGAGTTTGTTTTTCGCATTCGTGAACGTGCGATTCGACGATATTCGTTTTAGACGTACTAAATTTTACTTTTCTATACCACCGAATAGCGTACAACTCGTTGTATCAACTCGAAGAGCTATAAATAATAGTGCAGTAGCAGTATTAGTAGTAGTATTAGTAGTAATGGCACTCGAAGTTTTTTTTCAGCTGTAATAATGCGGCAAACGGAATCAATGTCATTACTCGTTACAGTATTATCGTTTCGCTATAACCATAAGTACTTACATAAATACGTTCTCGAATAGTATTTCTTCGGGACAGTTATTATATCAATGTAGTGTACGTGTAAGATTTGCAGTGCTAAAAATTAAAAATCGTATACACTTACGGTTTATCTGTAGGTGTATGTTATGATGAGCGGAACTATTTCTACACGGTTTTCTTACTGTATTGGATTTATTTAAATGTTTTTTATTAACCATGGACATCACTTAGCTTAAGTGTAGACCGATTTGATGTAAACAGTCGTAATTAAAAACGTAATTATAAGCGATAATCCAAGTAATAATGTTGATTTTTTCGATAAATATTATACATCATAGATTAAAATAAATGTGAAATTTGATGAACAAAATAATAATCTCACTACAAATGAGTTTCAAATAAATATGTATGTTTTTTTTTTTAAATATCAGACAGATTTTTGCATCAATGGTGGTTGTTAGACAATTTTCGTGATATGTATTGCCAGTCTAAAAATAAATAAAATGTACACTCTACACCATTCTATTTACAAATAAAAAGTAATTTAATTGAATGGGAAAATAATTATGATCGTATTATTTGAAGGTCGCTTCCTCCCAAGAGTGATATCAAACAATTGAAATCATTCAATTAAACGTCCCTAACATTCAATAAATTAAAGTTGTATGATTTAAGGATATCACAACAGGTAAAATAAAATATTCTACATTTACATTTATCACAATACTATCCTTAATGTGATACACAAGCAGTGCATGATAAAATATTTATATTGTACCAACCAATACAATAATCAAACCATTTATACTCTTATTTCATTAGAAAATAATGTTAGTCAATCGTAGAACATGGATTTTAATTGTATTTTAATATGTAATGAATATTTTAATTAATATTTCAAAGCACATATTTTGATTTGTTAAAAAAAAATATCTTATAGCGTACGGAATGAAACGACACCGTAGAAGTACAAATAAAAATTTGTAATCATAAAAAATTTCAAGATAATACTGATACTGACTTTCATTAAATAATCGGTTCGTGTACTTGACATCGTGAGACTTAGAAATACATTTGAATAAAAAAAAATTATTTTTTTATGTGATCATTTATTGAACGAATAAGAATTTTGTACGCGGTTGTGTTTGAACAATATTAGTTACTTTGTAATCTTCGTGAACGTGATTTATTTATTTAATGGCTCAGAATGTAAACTATGGTTGGGATCCAACGAGAAATAATTTATTGCAAATTGTAACTGATATACGACATTCAAAGGGCCCACGTGAAACTAAAATTAGTGTTTTGTGTACTAGCGTTCGGTTACTTCGTACGTATATTACAAGCTCCTTGTGGTGTTAATTTCTGATCATCACGACCGAGATTGGTCAAAAAAATAGCAGCACCGGATAACAATTTTGCGAACGACCGATATATGGATTCATTCAAATATTTTTTTATGGAAAACTAAAAAATTCGGACAAGGGTCGTATCAAATTTAATGTAACACGTCTCTAATCTTGTCAGATGTTAATCGTTTTTTTTTTTTGTTCGTGTTTCGCAGTTTGAATGAACTCCAACTGGCGTTCGTAGAGCAAAAATGTAATCGTTAAAATATGCTGATATCTATATCTACGAGCATTAGACGGTGCGGATAGTGTGTTTGTTTATCATGTTTATGTTTTAATGTAATAAAAAAAAAAAACCATACGTCTAGACGGACTATTGTCACGGTAATAATAGCTACCCGAAGATTGCACGAGAATCAGTTATCATGTTTTCCGACTATATGTTTGCACGTTAACAGTCAAACCACGTTTTGAATATTGTCGTAAGTTTATCGTGCTCGTTGTACGAAACATACCCGTATAAATATGCATGATACATAATAATAATAACATTTGTGTGGGTACAGATCAGCCATTTTGAAAACAAATGTACGCAATAAATCGGTCAAGCGAATACGATATACTGTAACTGTTCGATAAGATACATTTAACGAACACCATATTATTCTCACGATCAATGGCAACACTCATCTCACGCTCGGAAATAAAATACCAATACGATTAATACGACATTTATGCCGAGTTTCGCGTGCTCCGACGTCCGAACACAAAACAAATATATCGTTTGTACAACGATTGTACGTAAACGTTAAAATATTTTCCTAGTCCGTATGCTGTTACTCGACGTCGCGGTAGGACATTTCAACGGTTCGTATTTCGGTAAAACACAGATCGCGTTGAAACATACACTGCGAGCAGTGAAAAACGTTGGCCGAGCGAATGTTTTCTCCGACTGCGGTGTATCGTACGCGTGAAGGTACTTAAATCTCGTTCTAATGTTGTACTAATGTGTACGAATGTTTTATCTTGTTTGTCCGACGCGTAATAACGAATAATGTGCCCCTCGACGTAGAACGGACGTACGTTTAAAAATTCGAGAAAAAATGCCAATAACCGAATGTCGAGTCTGAAACGAGAGACAAGAAGCCCACCGGAAGATAACCGTCGGAACCTCTCGATCCACGTAGGGTTCAGACCGAACCGATTTTATTCCCAAACTTATCCGATACGTCCGGGAAACCCGGCCGAAACGTTCGTCGGTAAATATTCCCCTCTTCCTCCCGCATCGCAACGGAAAAACTAAACCCAACGGCTTTAGTCGCCGAAATAAAAAAATCGTACCGCCAACCACGATGTTCAATACACGATCAATAATACGCTGCAGAGTACGGGGG